TGTTATATTGATGTCATTAAACTGTTCATTATAATTAGGGGTGCACCGATAAATCGGCCGGCCGATCGATCGGCCCCGATTTCCTTGATTTGGGGAGATCGGCGATCGGCCGATCTTTAAATGAGAAGCCGATTTTATCCACCGATCGTATCTGCCGCCGGAAAGGTCTGAAAATCAGCTGCTGTCCCCTTTTGCTCCACTGTGAGAGCTCACACACAGGTCACTCGGAGCAGCCATGTCGTCGGTTTGGAAGTTCTACGCTGTAAAATAAAATGAGCCAAAGATCGCAATTTGCAATTCGTGTAAAGCCGAAGTAAGTCGTGGTGGAGCCACCACCAAAACCTTTAATACAACAAACCTCGTTCGCCATTTAAGAAATCACCACGCCGCCAAGTATGCAATGTTTGAAGAGAGCAACCAAGCTAAGGCTAATGCTAAAGCTAGCGCTAACAAAGAGGCAGTCGGTGGGTCGCTGTTAGCTTTTATGAGCAACGAAAAGAGCAAAGCTACCACGAGGAAAGTGATGGAGTTCATGGCATTAGACGACCAGCCATTTTCAGTCGTTGAGGACAAAGGTTTTAGAAGCTTGATGCAGCACGTGTGCCCACGATATAATATGCCGAGTCGGAAATATTTTTCTGATGTTGCATTACCGGAGTTGTTCAGCCAAGTTTCGAGAGACACCCGCAGCCTGCTAAAAGCTAATACAAATACACTCAGCTTTACAACAGACATCTGGACTTCTGATGTAAGTTTAATGTTCATGTTAAGTTTTACTGCACAGTGGATTGACGAACAGTTCGAACGTCTTCAAGTACTCTTAAACTGTAAAGATATGGCGGGGTCTCACACTGCGGCCAATTTATCAGCAGAGTTTAAGGCGATGCTGAATCACTGGGAAATCGATAATGGAAGAGTTCACGTTGTTTTACGGGATAATGCTCGTAATATGGCCAAAGCGCTGGATGATATCAACCTGAAAAATTTACCCTGCCTGGCACACACTGCAACTGGTTGTAAATGAGGGACAGCTGGCGCAGCGCAGCATCACAGACATGGTGGCAACCGGAAGGAGAATTGTCGGACATTTTAAGCATTCATCACTTGCCTATTCCCGACTTTATGACATACAGACACAGTTAGGTCAACCCAGGAAACGATTACAGCAAGACGTTTCAACGAGGTGGAACAGCACAGTCTACATGCTGCAGTCGCTGTTGGAGCAGAGACGTGCTATTGGCGTGTATGCTGCTGAGCATGAGTTACCAGCCACACTCACAGCACACCAGTGGGAGCTACTGGACAATGTGCTCACCATTCTTGCACCTTTTGAGGAACTCACAAAGGAGATTAGCTCATCAACAGCTACAGCAGCAGATGTCATCCCAGCCATCACTGCACTCAAGCGGATTTTGGAGAGGCAAGCGAGCACAGACCGTGGCGTGGGTACAGCCAAAGCTACGTTGCTGGAGGCTGTTGTGAGAAGATTCAGCAACATTGAGCATGAGCCCCTGTACAGCTTGGCCACTGTTCTGGATCCAAGGCAAGTAACTATTAACATTCTATTTTAGCCATAATTACTTTTAGCCTACTACTATATTTCAACAAACATTTAAATTAAATTAAAAATAAAAATTTATTGATTGAAATGCATTTCTTTATTTACATGCAAGTCATAAAAACTGTTAATGTATACAAAACACAATGATTGACCCATCTTTCTTTGTTTATGCAAAACAAAGTACAAGAATCGCTACTTCTCAGCAGAGGTGAAAGATGACGTGAAACTGCTCCTTTTGACCAAACTTGCAGAGGGGGAGACCAGATGCACACCTGCTGCAGGAACATCCTCTGAAGTGGGACCTCCTGATATAGATGAACCTGCAGCCAAAAGGCGTAGTCTACTGTTTGCAGCTCACGATGAAATCTTGAAGGAGAACATTGAACAGGAGCAACAGCTGGCCAGCCCTTCAGCTATGCAGGTACAGAACTACCTATCTGAGGTTCCTGTCGAAAGGAGCCAGGACCCATTGGTCTACTGGATGATCAATGAAAATCGTTTCCCTCATCTTGCTCTACTTGCCCGAACCTATCTCTCTGCCCCATGCACAAGCGTTGAAAGCGAGCGCCTGTTTAGCTTGGCTGGACATGTAGTAGATGAGAAAAGAAGTCGCCTGTCTGGTGACAAAGCAGAAATGCTTTTGTTCATCAAGAAAAACCTGCCACTAATGAAAGTGACTGGAATAAGTCTGTGAGAACTAACTTACCTGTGACAGTCTTATTTCTTATTACCCACCGACTTGAAAATGTTACACTTGTTGCATTATCTTTTTAAGTTTTGTTTTTTTTAAATGTAACAAGTGAAAGAGTTGAAGGAACTGAACTTTTTTTTTTTTTGGTTAATTTTATAGTTTTAACAAAAATTGTGTAAACTTCATTTATATTTCAGAATACTACCTCATGACAAGTTAAAACAACAAGTTTGTATTGTTTCTAGGGTATTTTTCAAGGGTATGTTTTACAATAAAATAAGATTGGTAAATTGAAGGTGCATTGTGATCTTGTAACACCTGACACTGTTGCTTATAAAAAAAAAATCGGTATCGGCCAAAATCGGAATCGGCAGTTCAGATTTTCAAAAAATCGGTGATCGGCCTGAAAATTGAAATAGGTGCACTCCTAATTATAATATTCACAGTCTTATATTTCAGGGAAAAAATTTGTATCAATCGCATCTTCAACATTGTATATTTTAAACTCTAAGTCTTCGTATGTTGCCATGTTTTAATGTATTTGTTTATTTTATATTTTGTTAATTTCTTGTTTGTGAAGTCATGTCAATGATTTATCATCTGTCATTTCCTGAGCTCATTTTAGTTTTTCCAGATCCTTCAGGTCTTTTATTATTTTAGCCTGAGATCCTTCCTGTATTTTGATCCAAATGTTTCCATTTCTTGTCCAAGTTGATGCTATTTTTTTCTGTTTTTTCAACCACCTTGCTTCACGTGCAATATTTCCATTTTTTTAGTTAGATGTTCGTTTATGTAAACATTTGTTCCCTTCAGTTTTTTTGCTTACATTATTATCTTGTTTCTTGATTTCCTGCTAATGAACTTTATGACTATGGATGGTTTGGCTTTATCTGATTTGTTGGGCAGAGTGTGACAGATTGAAATGTCCTCATGTTCGAGGTCAATGTCTTTGTTTTGTAAAAAATTCACTACTTGCTCCTCCAGAGTCTGTAGTTCTTCCTGTGGTGCGTCTTCTATTGTGTTAGTACCAGCAACAACTCTTGCATATGTCCGGTTCCTAACTTCCAGTCCAGTGATCACCAAGTTGTCTATTTTTGTGTATTGTTCCATGTCGTCTACTTTCTGTTCCAGTTCAGCTATTTTCCTGTCTTTATTAGTCATCAGTTCTTTCAATTGTCTCACTTCTTCAAACAGTCCTGTCAGTAATTCACATTTAGCTGATAATTTAGTCAGTTCAGCACTCAAAAAGTTCAAAGATTTTTGAACTTCCTCCATATCTTCTGAATTATTTTCCGACACTTGTCTCTTATGTCTGTGTTTGCTCGGCATTACTCACGATACTTCTGGATTATTGGTCTCAACTCTCAGAAGCACAGGATCCAGCCACGAGGTTCACAGGCTTATGTTGTTAGCTTATGTTGTTAGCCGAGGCCTAGCCAGGTCTGGCCGAGGCCTAGCGGCAACAACCTCCGGGTCCCACGATTCACTCGGTCCAGCAGTTCGCAGCCCCAACGGTGACAGACCAGGTCCCGGTTGCAACAGCTCCCAGATCCCACAGCTGTAGTATAGCTTCCTCGGTTTCAGCGGCTCGCAGGTCCAATCGGCGGCGGACCGGGTCTCCTCCGTAAAAAGCTCGGTTCCAGCGGCTCGCAGGTCCAATCGACGGCGGACCGGGTCTCCGACGTAAACAGCTCGGTTCAGCGGCTCGCAGGTCCAACAGCGGCGGACCGGGTCTCTGCCGAAAACCGCTCGGTTTCAGCGGCTCGCAGGTCCAACAGTGGCGGACAGGGTCTCCGCCGTAAACGGCTCGGTTTCAGCAGCTCACGGGTCCAACAGCGGCGGACAGGGTCTCCGCCGTAAACAGCTCAGTTTCAGCGGCTCGCAGGTCCAAACGGCGGTTCTTCGTAATGGTATGGTATGGTATATATACTTGGTAGGGCATTAACAGAGTACTTGAGTAATCTACACATCAATTTCTAGGACATCTATCAAGGTTAAAAATGTAACGTAGGGTATCCGTAGTGACGTCATATTATGTGACCACCGTATGACCGTAGGGGGCGTTGTTGCACTGTTGCAGGTCACAGAGTATGGTGTAACACCGGGTCCAATCCACCGAACCAGAACCAGTTTCGGTTTAAGTTTCGTTTTTGACGTACTGCATGTTTCTTCACGTTTGCAGTTTAATAATGATAACTAATAGTTTAATTTTTCCTGTGACTTATTTGCAGTATAATAAATGGTAGGAGCATAATATACGCTCCCAATGTTTTGTTGGTCTTTTCTTTTGTAAATAATTACCTTTTTTTGCGGTTTTATTTATTTATTTATTTTTGTATCTTGAGATCTATGATGTCATCAAATACTAGAGTTCTACTTGGGTTTTATTATGTTAATGTCGAGTTTAAAAATTATATACTCGTTCAACCTCTTATACATGGAGTATATTCGATATATCCCCCCAACCCTACATCGAAATATATATCGTATATTGCAATTTATCTTAAAATATCGAGATATTAATTTTGGTCTATATCGCCCAGCCCTAAGATGTATATGCATATGTATATGTAAATCCTGTACAGAGGGTACACCACATAAAAATTCAGTTAACTGCATACAAACCCTGTATGGTGTGTAGAAACACTGTACATTGTTTTCATGCTCATTTCAGAAACACTGTACATTGCTTTCATGCCCATTTCAATCCATTTTATTGTTCTAAATGTAAGTAAACTGGATTCATACCATGAAAGAGACGGTGTCCTGTGATCCCAGTAGACATGACTGGTTACCCCCGTCTGCCATCCTGCTGCGCAGTCAGCTACAATCAGAGAAACCCTCGGACGACCATATCAGACTCTCTGAGGCGGGTTCACTGCTATCCACAGGTAAATTAAAGAAGAAAAGAACATTCACTGAGTAGTTTTAGACATCAGGAGTTTGTTAGAATAACATATTGTACCATTCTGCTGTGGTTGACTGCTGGTCACATGGCCTCAGGGAGGGATTATGGTTAGAATTTATGTTCACTGTTAATCATTTCAGTTAGCTGTTTAGCACTGTTCTTTTAGTGAAAGTAGTAGTAGTAGTAGTGAAAGTTTTACTGTTCTGTTCTTGTTAGCCTAGTTTATGTGTTCATTATGTGTTAGTTTGAGTTAGTAGAGTAACCATGAGTGAGAGAGGTAAATATAATGAAGACCTGTGGGGTTCAATCTGACTGTGGGTGTTGAACAGTAAGATAAAGTCTATAAAACACCATCTGGTGGCTGATTCTTGATCTACAACAAGAGCTGTACATCTCTCTCAGTGTGCTGCCAAACTACAAAACTAAAGTTTGTTTTGGGAAAAACGCGTACATAACTGATCTGACTTTGCTATTTTTTAGGTATATCCACTTGTCTGTGTAGTTTGGATACAGTATAGCAATATATAAGAGTCCAATACACATAGGGCAAGTACCCAGTATGTACCCAGTACTTACACTGGACTTTACAGGAGAAAAAGATGGCATGAGGATGCCATTTTAATTTTAATGATGCCCTCAAGAATGGCTCTGTTCAACTGATTAAGTTGTGTTGTCAACCCTATTTAAGCTGAGAATATGGAAGTCGGCAGAAAGAGATGAAAAATATTTTGAGTCTCGATTTATTCTCTACGTCTTGCAACATCAAGCTCAGAAAAAAACGAATGATTTACAACCGTTGATCTGCTCCTTTTCAATTCTGTCCCTTTCACCATAAGAACACATTCTGACGTGAAATATATATATTTGTGTCCGCCACACAGACCCCCCCCCCCAACACACGGAATGTCACAAACACAAAAAACATGTAAATTGTGAAACCCATTACAGGTATAAAACACACACAAAAAAATTAATAAATGAAATGCCTAACGGTAGCGGCTAGGGAGTTTAATAAGGCGGCCACCACGGCTGCTCTTCACAGCGACGGGTTGAAAGTGAAGGAGACTCTCCAGACCGACTGCCACTTAACTGTTCACGTGAGGGAGGCAACCCGGCTGTAGGGGGAAAACCTGGAAGAGTGGGCAAAGAAACTGGGGGACGGCCGCGATGAGGTGGCTGAGCCAACTCAGATGGGTCCCCCGGCAAAACATGAGCCAGTTTCAAACGGTCCACCGAAACATTTTCTTGATTACCCCTCAACTCCACCAAAAAATCTTTAGGTCCCCTCTCCAAAACACGAAATGGACCATAGTAAGGAGGAATTTAATTTGTAACACACTCTTCATCAACAAAAATCTTAAAGTGATACCGAGTGCAACTAAAATCAATGATAAAATCAAATAAAATCTGTGATAAAATCAACTAAAATCAATGATAAAATCTACTAAAAATAATAAAATCAACTAAAATCAGTGATACAATCATGTGGAGGCAGAATAGGCTTGCTTAAAAAGAAAAGTCTTTAAGCCTTTTTTAAAGTCAGTCAATGATTGTGGAGCTCTCAGATAGTCAGGGAGGGAGTTCCAGAGGCGGGGGGCAGCCACACAGAATAACCAATCTTCCATGGTCCTTAATTTAGTTCATGGAAGGTGGAGGAGATTACTGTTCTGTGATCGTAGGGACTGGGTGGATGAATATGGAGCAAGAAGGTCCTTCAGATAATCTGGTGAATTTCTGTTTAAACACTGATGGTTAATGAGAGCAATTTTGTACTGAATTCTGTAGATGACAGGAAGCCAATGGAGGTTATGGAGAATGGGTGCGATATGTTCAAACTTACGAGCTCTCAATAAAATCCTGGCTGTACTGTTTTGAATATACTGAAGCTTCTGATGGTTTTTGCCAGGGATTCCAGTAAACAGGGAGTTGCAGTAGTCGAGCCTGGAGGGGACAAAGGCATGAACAAGTTTCTCTGCATCAGCAAAAGTGAGAGATGGGTAAAATTTGGAGATATTTCGAAGATGGAAGAAACAGGTTTTAAACAGATGCTTCATGTGATTCAAATGTAAGATAAGAGTCCATTTGTATTCCAAGATTTGTAAAAGAGGTGGAGAGGGGGAGGTCTTGTCAAGAAAAGGAAATAGTCGTTACAGTTGATGTTTGAACCTGGTGAGGGGTGCCAATCAGTATGGCCTCAGTTTTTGAGCAGTTTAATTCAATTCAATTCAGTTTATTTATATAGCGCCAAATCACAACAAAGTTGTCTCAGGGCACTTTACAGGAA